AGAAAAATTTTTACTTACGCGTTAAAAAAGTCTTTCAATTAGATTATTATTTAAACAGTCTTTTAAATAGTTAATGCAGAAAATATTAATATAAATAAAATATTAATATAAATAAAGTATTAATATAAATAAATATTAATATAAATTAAATATTAGTATAAAAAAAAATATTTTTGAAATATTATTTTCATTAGATTAAAAGCAGATAGATAAATAAAAAAAATTTTCTGTTACGTTTTTTGAAAAGTTTTATTTTTAATTTATTTTATATTTAAATTAAATTTATTATTAAATATTAATAAATATTGATAAATATTTATTAAATTTAATTTTAACTTTTTTAAAAATTTTAAAACACTTTGTTTTACAATTTTTTTTGTTACTGCTAAAATTTCCAAACTATGTTAAATTTTTAAAAATAAATTTAATTCAAGTTACTTTAAAATGTTTGTATTACATTTAACTATTTTGTTTATTTAATTATAGTTTCAAATCAATAATTTTTTTTTTCATTTTATTACAAAAGTGCTTAATCCACTTATAACTGTGTATAAGTGCATTGCCAGATAAACCATAATAAAGCCTGTAGGCAAAATTGTTAGATTTATTAAAAATATTTTAGAGAATTTGTTTAGTAAATTTTATAAAAGAAATTTATGAAAAGATGACTTTTTCAGTTTTGAATTCGCTTTTTAACAAAAGTTTTTTCTTTATCATTAATTTTTTAAATTGATCATAGAATGAATGCTGATTAGAAATAATTAGTTTATGAGTATGCGAAGATTTTTTTAAAGCTAAAATGTTAAAAAAAATATTGTAAATATTTTTTTTTATTTTTTGACCGTTAAGAAATTCAACCATAAATAATTACCCTCTCATTTAGAAAAAAATGTTTTAAATAAAGAAAAAATGAATAAATTTAAATAAGTATAACCTTTTTTAAATAAGATTTTTTTTTTTTTAAACAACATTTAAATTTTATTTATAATTTTTTTTATAAAAATATTGTTTAATTTAATGATATTTTATAAAGATAAAAACTTACAAAGATTTTTAATGTTGTTTCAAATTGAATTTAAAAAATATAACTGATTAATAAAACTTAGTGATGTAAATATGCTTATTGAGTAAAGTTACTTTTACTTGTGTTTCGCTTTTCCAGCAACAAAATCTTATAACAAGGCCTTCCGTGGCTTGAAGATTGTTTTAATAACAAAAAACATACTGCATGTCAAAGTGAACATTTCTGGGGCAGTCTGTGGTTGGATTTGATTATAGACCAGACACTCATGTAATCTATCAAGAGCAGAAAAGGCTTTACAAGAGGATGTGGTATAAAATAGAGTACAAGACACTTGTGGGTATTAAGTGTACATCATATTGCAGTTATCAATGATGTAATTAATTTCTTTTGAAACTTCACAATATTAACTAGTGAGCAACATGAAGATCTTGGTCAATCACAAATAAAATAAGAAGCGAGTAATTGGAAAAGATTTTATGACTTTCAAATAGAAATCCGTTTACTTTCAATGATCATAACTCAGACTCATTGTCATCTGGTTTTATTTCAAGGTAAAGATACAATAAATTGCGAGTAAGCAGCAGAAGTTGTCTCGAAAGCATCAATGAATAACCTTAAGTTCATTGCAGTTAAAATCAAGAAAATATCAAATTAAATCATTGAATTCTTTAACAAATACCATCAAAATTAGCCAAAAGAAGGTTTATGTGAATTAACTTTGTTCACAAGACTTGCAGCAGTTGCTAAAAGGGACAATGATTAGGAGAAACATTTTAGATTTGAGTTAACAACAGAGCCAATGTCACTGTTTAAAGAAATGATTATGAGAAAACAAACCTTTCTTGACAAAAGCTGATAGAAGCAATAGTCATTGAAATTAATATGATAGATCAGAATAGCATTGACAGTGAGTACTTGATTGACGGTGGTGCACTTCTACATTGCATTGGTTGTCTCAAAGGCTCCACCTTTAAAGAGATCAACAATTATTTGAAATACATTCGCAAACAATTCGGATCGGTACATTCAGTGTTTGATGGATATAAAATTCAATCAATTATAAATGCTAAATATGCATTATCCCTTATCACACTGTTATCAATTGCTCATGCAATGCTGATACAACCATTTGTTCAACAGCATTAGAATTTGCTTTATTAAACTTTGAAAAACAAATTATTGTGGTTGCTAATGACACAGATATTTGATTATTGTGGTTGCTAATAACACATATTTTTTTTATACTTGTTCACTATTGGCAAATTTATTTTCACGAACATCGCCTGCATAAAGGATGGAGCATGAAGGCATTAAGTCCAACATGAACAATATAAAGAATGACATTTTGTTTGACAGGTTTTTTTATTTGGTGTCACTATACTATATGTGCCAAATTTCAGCTTATAATTTTTCCGGGTAATAGAGTTATTTTTGCTAAAATGACTGGACTGCAACACAATGGCATAAAAGTTTTTTTTTAATGAAAGTTTTTAGATTTTTATATGTGAAGTGGAAATCAGTTATTTCACTTAAGTAGTGTTCATTGAAATTGTTGAGTATTCTGGTGGTGGTTTGATACTTTCCTTAGTAACATACTTTCCTAATTCATCCACTAGTGATTCAAAAATTCTTTGCTTTCAGATTGTAAAAATTCTATTCATTTCATTTTTTCATTTTCATTTCAACCTGATTTTTGTATCAACACTTAAAATAGCATGATTACCTTATTGACTCCAATATACTTTTGATACTTTGATTTAAAATTTTATGCCTAAAATGTGTTCAAACACACTTTTAATTCCTTGGTTTAAAATCCTATGCTTATAGGTCAAATACACTCATGACAATCTTTAGAGCTGTCCTTTGTTAATACCAACAAAATACAAGAATTAAAATTTCCATTTTCCTGAATAAAAAAAGTTCATTTACTGGGAATAATAAGTAATTACAATAAGCATTTAAAAAAAGTTTTATCACGTATTATTAAAATTTTTGTATAGAGTTAAATCAATCTGAGTACTGTGACCTGTTTGTAATATCAGCATAAGTGTTTTCTTTTATTCCTGATCTTTCAACATTTTTTTTTATCTTCTAACATTGCATAATAATGGAAGATTATAATTTTTCTTCATGTTCAAAATGGTTTCACTTTTTATCTTTTATACAGGTAATTATTCTTTGTATACTTAAACAAGAAGAATGCTTCTTTCTGTTGCATATTTTATATTTGTGCAATCATCTTTTTTTCTCTTAAGGTAGATATTTCTTCTATTGGTGCAATATAAATTCATTTTCTATTGGTGCAACATAAATTCATTTTCTATTGGTGCAACATAAATTCATTTCCTATTGGTGCAACATAAATTCATCTTCTATTGGTGCAACATAAATTAATTTTCTATTGGTGCAACATAAATTTCTATTTTCCAAATGTAGTTTTAGTCCTAGCATGCTTATTTTGAAAGTTTTTTTGTATTTTCTAAATTAATTTATTTTAATTGTTTAAATTAATTATTCTTACAAATTGTCTTAATTTAAACAAATTGTCAGACAATTGACAAATTTATTTGAGACTACTTTGTAGAAGTTTTGCGTATTTTTGCTAATCTTTTTAAATTAGCCTTTATATAAAAATTTTTTTTTTTGAAATTTAATAACATTAAAGGGGCGCCCCAATTTTAATGATTTTGATTTGTTTAAAAACTAATACAAAAATCTGTATAAAAGGCCCATCAATACCCTTGTTTGAGATTTTTGAACATAAAAAATGCTTTACTTTAAATTGGAAAACAACTCATTGCTCAAACGATACAGCCAAGTTTAGAACCCAGTCTAAGTTTAGAACCCTATCTATTTATTTTGAAAATTACTGTATGAGAAAAAAATTCAAAAAATTTGGTTTTAACGGTTTCTATCTCATGTCAACTTACTAAAAATAATGGTTTAAAAAAAACTGAGGTAAAATTAATTTCATCTAAAAACCTAATATACAACATCTATATGTAAATTTATATATAAATAAAAATAAAAAAATAAACATATACATATTTTTTTAATTTATATATGAGCCAGTGAGAATCAGAATAGTGTGTTAACATTTCCTTAACTTGAGATTTTTATGGTTTTATTAAATTTTATGCAGAGAAAACCTTAAAAACTAAAAAAAAAAGAAATTACCAGTTTCTTTACATAAACTTACACTATCTCAAATTTAACAAATACAATACATCAATCTCAAATTTAACAAAGTCATGCTTTTATATAATCATGCATTTTGAGGGACAGATTTTACAAAAAAACAAACACTTTTGGGGATATTAGCATTATCGAGGACATTTAAGTGTACCCGTTAATTTTCAGTCTCTGTAAGCATGATTTTTTTTGTAAAAAAATGTACCCGTAAAAAACTTTATAGAGAACAAAAAGTACATACATTGGCTGACAAATAGCCTGACTCGCAAGGGAGTGCTGCTACATCGACTGTGGGTTTGGTTTGCCCGGGCATCAAGGTCAGACTTAGGTTTAGGGTTACGGCAAGGTTTAAATTTGGTTATATTATTGTAATTAATTATTTTTGTAAATAGATGAAGTTAAAAATGAAATATAATATAAAATAAAATAGATAAAAATAACAAAAATTAATATAAAAAATATATTTTTATAATAAAATAATAAATTTAAATATGCATAATAAAAATAGAAATAAAATAAAAATTAAAAAATATATGTAAATATGATAAAAATAGTATAAAAAAAGTTAAAAAACAACAGAACGGGAACAAAAATAACATGTCCCCGAAAGTCGCTAACTAGGGCGCTATATATATATATATATATATATATATATATATATATATATATATATATATATATATATATATATATATATATATATATATATATATATATATATATATATATATATATATACATACATACAGAAAAAGAGATATTATTATTAACTTTTTTGTTTAAGGAATGCTCTAATCTCTTTTCAAGTGGTGGTGGAGAAGCGCTGGCTGAATATGCTGATATTCCTTTCCTTGGTTTATTTATTTTTTTATTTTTTATGTTAAAAAACTGTGTGCGTATATATATGTATATATATATATATATATATATATATATATATATATATATATATATATATATATATATATATATATATATATATATATATATATATATATATATATATATATATATATATATATATATATATATATAAATTAGTAGAAAATCACTTTGCAAAATTTTTTTTCGTTTAATACTGTGTTTTATCAATATAGACTCATCAAAAATCTGATGAGTCTTTATTGATGGTTTCTGATGAGTCTTTATTGATGAAACACAGTGTTAAATGAAAAAAATTTTTTGCAAAGTGACTTTCTACTAATTTGTAATTGCTCTGTTCTTTTAAGAAAATTGAGCACTCTTTTTGTGGAATACATTTTAAATTGTTTAAACATATATATATATATATATATATATATATATATATATATATATATAATTTAAAATTATAATTCAGACAAAAATCAACAAAACTGGATATTTAGAGCTACTTGATTTTTTAATTTTTGTACCACCAATTCAAACTGGTCAGTTTGGTATACTTTTACCATTACTTAAGAGCCGTTTTTTCTAAGAATCAGGCAAATTCCTTAAACTGTCGAAGTGACCTACTCCAAATTGCTTGAATTTTTTATATATTGATCAGAATATAGAGAAAACCTGTTAGAGAAAAAAATAACTTTCAAAAATGTTTCGTTCACTCAGAATCTTGGCTTAAATTTTTGAAATTTAAAAAAAAAAATTTTGAAATTTAGTTTTTGCCACCTTTGAACCCATTTTATTGGCAAGGCAAAAAGTTGCACTTAGCTTTTGAAGTTAATATCAGACGTAACCCAAAAGCTCTCTCCAAAAAATATTAAAAAGTTGTGGGGCACTGTGTGGTTGGCTAATAATCATAGTTTAAAAGTTAAAAACAATCAGTTTTGTCAATTTTTAATGGGAGTTATTTCTAGCGGCGAAGTGTTGCACACGATTTTTCTTTTAGGATTTAAAAGTATCAAAGGTATTGAGTCTAAAAATGCAAAGCAAGTTATGTGATACCTAAGGCCTATTCATATGTTAAGGCTTGAAATTGAAAAAAAATTTTATAGTATACATACAAAAAGCCATTACGGCAGAGGCGCTAAGTTTTGTAAAAATGTAAACATATCTAACTGTCAATACAACGTGGTCCTAACATAATTTAAAAAAAACTCATGTGATCTTTAGATATTCAGTTAAAATTAAAGGTACAAAGTGTTAAAAATGATTTAGTACGAAGAGATATTTTTTGGGACACACAGATGAGGGATTCGGATTGCTCACAATAAAATTTCTATCATCCAAAATTAGCGATTAGCATTGCAAAAAAAAATTGCACTTAATGTTAAAAAATTTAAGTGTTTCTGACTATGATATAGAAATCATAACAATTGAAATAAATAATAATAAAAAACAATATATGATCAGAAGTAAATTATTTGAATTTATGTCATAACCAAATAACTTGTGATGATTGAATGGAACGAAGAATCGCCGATGTCACGATTGTGGAGAAACTAGTTAGTGGGCGGTTGTCATAAAACAATTTATTTTACCATAAAAATGTCTTAACTTTATTTTAATGATCTTTAAAATTTGCATAAATAGAGTAGATATTTTATCATTGTTATTGAGAAATAGGGGCTGCATAAATAGAACTTGTTTTTAGGTCATTGCTATGATTTGTGCAAAGTAATCGAGATGATCAAAGAACTAGCCATTTAAAATTCTGACAATGCTGATTTTATTTATGGTTTGGAAATTGTTATAAAGGATGTATTCAACTACATAAAACACCTGATGAGAGATTCTCAACAGGAAAAGGCAAAAATTGAAGCTTTTAAGCAATTAAACAATGAAACTGCTTTCTGGCTTTAAGATTTTTGTCAAAAAAATTCTTCCGGTTTGATACAGAGAGGGCCAAAGAGAGTATTTTGGCAAAAAAGGAATGAGTTTACATGCGGATATATTCTTCATAAAAATCTTAAGGAGTTGACTCTGGTAATAATCTTTTTACTGCTGAAGATATACACAAGGCTATGTATTATAGTTTTGGCGCTAAAGATGCAAAAGTAGCAGTTGCTCAAATTAACAATGATAAAACTGTAGGTAATGGACAAAAGATTAAGAACATTAGCAACTATCACTCATTTGAGTTTAGTGAGAAAAGTATGAAGATATGGCGTTATTTCGATATCTGTGAAGGAATTGAACAAGAGTATGGATCATCCTCTAACAGTATTTCCATAAAGACAAACCACATAACATGTGTAATTTGGTTTGTCTTTTATGTCCTGAGCAGGTTCACATGCAGCTGAGAAGAGAACTTCCGCCTGATCAATATGTAACTATCCAACAGATAAGATCTTTATTTTCAAGGTAAGCATTGTTGCTATCAAAACTTTTACAAATTAGATTATGTTTCTGACTGTTAAATAGTTCTTTTACAAATATGAAATTAAAATTTAGATGAAAGCTTTAATTTTGTGTGTTTGTTTACATGTTTAAAAATATCTATAATATATATTGTTGTAGATTTAGTCACCTGAAAAGAAAAGGTATGCTGGTAGAACCGACAACAAAAAATGATGAAAATAGTCAGATTAACGATAACAAAGAAGTTTATGGAGAAAACGATTACTTTGATGATATTGAATTAGAGGAAGACATCGCCGATCTTTCAAAAGAAATTTGTCTTGTATGGAAAGTGAATGATTTGGTTGCTGTTGCATATGAAAAACAATAGAATATTGGATATATTGTGGAGGTAATATTATTCAAAGCATATATTAGTTTCAAGTTTTTATTTTGTTTTATAAAACAGTGCTCTAATGTAAAAGCAATATAATTAAAATGTAAAAATAATTTGAGAATGACATTATATTTTATACATTAAACTTTATAAGTTTTACTGAATGTTAAACAAATCATAAACTCTCTATTATATTATTTTAAAATGTTGCGCTAATACTTTTAGGTATCTATAACTGGGATCAGAGTTAATTGTATGATTAACGGGTAAGAGAATAATACTTTTCGCTGGTCAGTTACTCCCGAGGAGATAAATAACCAAATTGAAAAAATTATCTGTTTAGTAAATGTTCCTTTTCTAAGCAGTGTTTGTGGCGATTATTCATTATCCGAAGAAGACTGTAATACAGTCATATCATTATTCTTAGAGAAACTTACTGCAGCAGAGTAAAAAATATGTGTGATATGGTGGATAATATGTGTAAATGACTATTAATAAATAAAAAAAAAAATTTTTAAATGGAAATACATTTAAATGTTTGATTTATGTTTTATTTAATTAGCAATATAGTTTTCTTGATGTTCGATTTTTGTTCAGTTTTTAATTCATATTATATCATGCGTGTGACAAAATCACACAAGTTTTTTTTTATTATTATGTTAGGACCACGTTGTATTGACAGTTGGATATGTTTAGATTTTTACAAAATTTTGCGCCTCTGCCGTAATGGCTCATTTTGTAAGTATACTATAACATTTTTTTTCAATTTCAAGCATTAATATATGAATAGGTCTTTGGTATCACTTAACTTGCTTTGCATTTTTAGACTCAATACTTTTGATACTTTTAAATCCTAAAAGAAAAATCGTGTGCAACACTTCGCCACTCGAAATAACTCCCATCAAAAATTGACAAACCTGATTACTTTTGAACTATAATAATAAGTCAACCGCACAGTGTCACGCAACTTTCTTATATATTTTGGAGAGAGCTTTTTGGTTACATCTAATATTAACTTCAAAAGCTATTTGCAACTTTTTGCCTAATTAAAAAAATGGGTACAAAGGTGGCAAAAACTAAATTTCAAAAAAATTTTAAAAAAATCTTAAAAATTTAACCCCAGATTCCGAGTGAACGAAACTTTTTTGAATGTTATTTTTTTTTCCTAACAGGTTTTAACATTATTTTTTTATGTTTTAGTAGTAAATTATTTTTTTATGTTTTAGTGAGTAAATTATTTTTTTATGTTTTAGTGAGTAAATTATTTTTTATGTTTTAGTGAGTAAATTACTTTTTTATGTTTTAGTGAGTAAATTATTTTTTTATGTTTTAGTGAGTAAATTATTTTTTTATGTTTTAGTGAGTAGTGAGTAAATTATTTTTTTATGTTTTAGTGAGTAAATTATTTTTTTATGTTTTAGTGAGTAAGTTACTTTTTTATGTTTTAGTGATTAGTGAGTAAATTATTTTTTTATGTTTTAGTGAGTAAATTATTTTTTTATGTTTTAGTGAGTAAATTACTTTTTTATGTTTTAGTGAGTAAATTATTTTTTTATGTTTTAATGAGTAAATTATTTTTTTATGTTTTAGTGAGTAAATTATTTTTTTATGTTTTAATGAGTAAATTATTTTTTTATGTTTTAGTGAGTAAATTATTTTTTTATGTTTTAGTGAGTAAATTATTTTTTTATGTTTTAGTGAGTAAATTATTTTTTTATGTTTTAGTGAGTAAATTATTTTTTTATGTTTTAGTGAGTAAATTATTTTTTTATGTTTTAGTAAGTATATTTATTTTTAAATTATGCTGAACCTATCCACTGACAATTACAACTAGGAAAGATAAACAAGATATAGGAAAAATGTTATTGTCTTCTAGCCAAATTGAATTTCCCTCAACAATAGGAATCATGTTAATATTACGAACATTACAAACAGAATGAAATGAAACTATTACGAACAGAATGAAAGCAGAATGCTATAGCAATCTGGGCAATAACTCGTATGCTAATTAACCAATCAATCAAGTTAAATTAACATATTATCAATAAAGTAGAAGGAGTTGTTTGAGATTAGGAAAAAACTGAAAGAAAAGGTGATATGATCTGAAGCTAAAAGGACAAATTTGGATCTTTAGAAGCTCTATTTGATATTGCTCACGCTAATGCTATGGTTACCATTGTTATGGAATTGATTGCAATTGAAAAAGACTGAAAATTTTTATCAATTTGATGTGAAAAAGGTTTTCTGGGAAAATTAGGTTATGTAGAAAACAATTAACAAAAAAGAAGATTATACTTTCAAAAAGTAAGAACATTTGGAACATTAGAACAATATAAAGAAATGACAAAAAGAGGAAAAAAGTACCAAACAGAATACTTGGATTTTTATTTTTGTCTTCTTTGAAAGATAGTTAAGGTGACAAGTATAATGATTTTGGTGATCCGCATCTTGAATAATGATCTTCGAGTCATCGACTATCAAGAATTAGTTAGAAAATCTATCCAAAATGAGTTAGAAAATTTATATTAAATAAAAAATGGATTTGAGTATGGACATAACAAAGGTTAGTTACAGATTAGCAGCTTTTCCATAATCTTGCTTGCCAACATGAAAGGTGTCATTGATGGATTTTATGAGAATCAGCTATAACATTTTCAACCTTGTAATGATTATAGAGAATTACTGAAGTTACCAATTAAATTAGTTGTGCCAAGGAGGGTTTTATCCATGCTTCAGCTGACATGCTCAGGGTTTGATGGTAGTTTAGGCCATATTTTTTTCAAAACACGCATAAAACAATTTAATTGTAGCGTGGCTTACAGTCACATTTTTTAACAGCTGTTTTATCAATTTCTATAGTTAATTTGATAACCTATATACTTATTTTTTAATTAATAACTTATATACTTATATAAGTTTTATATTATGGTGAGGAAAAAGTTAAAATCTAATATAAGACAAATATAGGACAATTTTTAAAGCCTGACTATACTGAAAGTTTTTATTCTTATCATATTAGATATTTTCTAATTTTCTAAGCTAGTTTACACTAATTTTTGTTTTTGTTTTGAGAAATAGTTTGTTTTTTTTGATAACAAGTAAAAGTTAAAAACTTAATTTTTCTTAATAAGCTTGGGATGGTTGGGAAAATTTTTCAAAAATTAATAAACGTCCCCTACTGTGTATTAAGCACGTCACATAAAAGTGTATGTCAACTGTATGCTTGGTTCAGATCTCTTTCGTCAATCTGCTCTCTGCCTAATGTTTTAAAGTTGTTGAATAACTGGTTGTTGAATGGCTGGTTGTTATAAAAGCTAAAAAAGCAAATTGCTTTGGACAAGGCGACACTTCAAAGGAGCAAAACACGTTGCAACAAGTAAGACAAAAAGGTTATATCACATAACCGGAATTTTATGCAGTTTTTTGATCAAGAATATGTTAGAAAGGGATACAGACGATGATTATTAGTCATCAAAAGTCATCGTTTCATCCCTGAAAGTTGTAAATGACCCAGACTTTGATATCCAAGTTAAGAGATTATATTAATATAATCTGTAAGTAATAAGTATATAAACTATCTGTAAGTAACTATTAATAAACTTGTGAAATTTAAGAAAATTCTGACACACAAATCTTTAGTTTTAATCTTTAGTAGCTGACACACAAATCTATAGTTTTAATCTTTAGTAGCTGACACACAAATCTATAGTTTTAATCTTTAGTAGCTGACACACAAATCTATAGTTTTAATCTTTAGTAGCTGACACACAAATCTATAGTTTTAATCTTTAGTAGCTGACACACAAATCTTTAGTTTTAATCTTTAGTAGCTGACACACAAATCTATAGTTTTAATCTTTAGTAGCTGACACACAAATCTATAGTTTTAATCTTTAGTAGCTGACACACAAATCTATAGTTTTAATCTTTAGTAGCTGACACACAAATCTATAGTTTTAATCTTTAGTAGCTGACACACAAATCTATAGTTTTAATCTTTAGTAGCTGACACACAAATCTTTAGTTTTAATCTTTAGTAGCTGACACACAAATCTATAGTTTTAATCTTTAGTAGCTGACACACAAATCTATAGTTTTAATCTTTAGTAGCTGACACACAAATCTTTAGTTTTAATCTTTAGTAGCTGACACACAAATCTATAGTTTTAATCTTTAGTAGCTGACACACAAATCTATAGTTTTAATCTTTAGTAGCTGACACACAAATCTTTAGTTTTAATCTTTAGTAGCTGACACACAAATCTATAGTTTTAATCTTTAGTAGCTGACACACAAATCTATAGTTTTAATCTTTAGTAGCTGACACACAAATCTATAGTTTTAATCTTTAGTAGCTGACACACAAATCTTTAGTTTTAATCTTTAGTAGCTGACACACAAATCTATAGTTTTAATCTTTAGTAGCTGACACACAAATCTATAGTTTTAATCTTTAGTAGCTGACACACAAATCTTTAGTTTTAATCTTTAGTAGCTGACACACAAATCTATAGTTTTAATCTTTAGTAGCTGACACACAAATCTATAGTTTTAATCTTTAGTAGCTGACACACAAATCTTTAGTTTTAATCTTTAGTAGCTGACACACAAATCTATAGTTTTAATCTTTAGTAGCTGACACACAAATCTATAGTTTTAATCTTTAGTAGCTGACACACAAATCTTTAGTTTTAATCTTTAGTAGCTGACACACAAATCTATAGTTTTAATCTTTAGTAGCTGACACACAAATCTATAGTTTTAATCTTTAGTAGCTGACACACAAATCTTTAGTTTTAATCTTTAGTAGCTGACACACAAATCTATAGTTTTAATCTTTAGTAGCTGACACACAAATCTATAGTTTTAATCTTTAGTAGCTGACACACAAATCTTTAGTTTTAATCTTTAGTAGCTGACACACAAATCTATAGTTTTAATCTTTAGTAGCTGACACACAAATCTATAGTTTTAATCTTTAGTAGCTGACACACAAATCTTTAGTTTTAATCTTTAGTAGCTGACACACAAATCTATAGTTTTAATCTTTAGTAGCTGACACACAAATCTATAGTTTTAATCTTTAGTAGCTGACACACAAATCTATAGTTTTAATCTTTAGTAGCTGACACACAAATCTATAGTTTTAATCTTTAGTAGCTGACACACAAATCTATAGTTTTAATCTTTAGTAGCTGACACACAAATCTATAGTTTTAATCTTTAGTAGCTGACACACAAATCTATAGTTTTAATCTTTAGTAGCTGACACACAAATCTATAGTTTTAATCTTTAGTAGCTGACACACAAATCTTTAGTTTTAATCTTTAGTAGCAATCCTAATCAAAGTTTTTTTTAAATTATGAAGATTTTTTTATAATTAGGTGTTTTTTAAATTGTATTTTTTTTTAACTCAAAGTTAACGATATTTGCTGATTATTAATCAAACAATTATTTTTCATACTTTAGGTAATATTCCTATTGACCCATCACTTAGCGCAGCCTTAGAAAAGGGAGAAAATTTCATGAATTCAAAAGACTCTCCTACATTCGATGCCATCATGCGTATTATCAAAAAACTGATTTGAGGTTTACATTGATCTAAAGATTTTTATTCTGTATTTTTTATCGAATAAATCGATGGATATTTTTTTACATTTATAGCTGCGACATATTTCCTCTTTACTTTTTAAACATTATTTTTACCAAGTGTTCGAGATCATATTGTAATATAATATAAATGTGAACAGAAACACTCATGTAACATCACACGAATGAACTATAATGTTACATAATACGCAAATAGGTTATTAGTGGTGAGCATAACGTTATTCAGTATTTTTCAGTATTGCTATATATTTATTTTAATATTTTTTAAAGTTTTTATTTCTTTTTTCTATTGCTACAAATTTTTATTAAATAAGCAAGAGTTTTGGCAAGTATCATTGCAGCCGTAGCGCTTACTTACGAATCGAGAGGTCCGTGGTTCAATGCCCAACTCTGATTATATTTGCGACAGAAAGAAAGGAGGCGTGAACTTACTAATTTAAACCTCTTCTGCGGTACTCTATGATAAGACTGTAACGGGCTCCTTAATGATCAGATAAAAATAATTTTATTAAAAGTTTTCCTGGGCAGTTGATCAGCTTCAGTCGAAACTTTTCAAAAGTTTTTTTTATTTTATTTTATTTTTAAAAATTGCAATAATTTGCGCGAAAATAAATTGCAATCAACTCTCTTATACCTATTTTAACTATTTTCAACATAATTCTCTTTCATTGTTCGGTTGCAATAGGAAGCAACAAAAACAACATCCTGTACAAAAATGTTGTCTGCTTTCTTATTAAAACAATATATCAAGAAGTAAATTATCTTTAATTAACTCCATTAAAATTCAAAGTTTGCTATTATTATTTGAGTTTCCAGACATTTTAGATTACTAAAAAAATTGTCTCTATTTAGAATGCAAGAAAAACAATATTCATATATCGGTAACAGTTTCGGAAATAATTATTACCTTACAAGTTAGTTATTTAAAACGTTGAAATGAGTAAACGAGTCAATAAAGAGAAATGCTAAATAGTTAGCTAAAAAATGTCATTTTGTAAGGTCTGTTATAAAGTTTCCATATGTTGTCCTAAAAAAAATTTAATTTCCGTTTGTAGCAGCCTTTGTGTATTTTTTAAAGTTCTTGCTTCACAATTGTTCGTGGTTCGAAACAGGTTCTGGCCATATATATGTGTGCGTATATATATATATATATATATATGTGTGTATATATACACATTATATATATGTGTGTATATATATATATATATATATACACATACATACATACATAGATAAATATATATATTTAGTTAGAAAGAAGACACTTCTTGGTTAAAAGATATTCCGCGTTACTCTAGGACGTTAGAGTACTAAAATAACACCGAAAAAAATGAAGAAAACTTAGGGGAGAGTTGCTGAAATTGGAAAACTTGCATTTATTTTGAAAAGAAAATGTCTCGTCTATATTTTTCATTTTTCTATAAAAACGTCTTCTTTTCTAAATTTTGAGAAATTTTCGAAATTGTTTTTTAAAAAATTTCATATTAAATTTTTACTCCCATTATAAACATATTAAAAAAAAAAACTATATAAACTGCTTCTTCAGACCAGTCTTTTTATCAAACTGGCAATGAAGATGAACACAAGTCAATTTTGCTAAAATTTTCTAACCGTATGCGCAACGAGATACACGAGGACCATTAGGTATTTAAATATTGCATAAAGATTAATTATTAAGATGCTTGATGATACGACATAAGGAACTGACGAGGAGATATTAGGATGCGCTTCATTAATGGGAGGTAAATGTCCATTTATACAGGAAATATGGAGCGAAAAAAAATATATAATAATTGAAATTAAACAACAGTATTTAAAATTTGTCTAACAAAAATACTTTAGTAAATGAACTAGGTTTTCAACTGTTAATCACAGCATCAAAGTGGATTCCAATTGAATTGTCTAAAAATATAGAACAACTACTTAACTTATTAAGCCGTGGCTTATTGGCATAGCTATGTCATCCATTTTGTTTTTGCTCTATATTTGCTGTATACTTGGATATCTATCTCCATAAACGAAGCATATCCAATTTTCTCCGCATTACTTTCCCCTCTCGCATCTTCAAGCAATTTAGTTTTACAAATATGCGTTCGAATTGGCATATTCAAATATCCAGTTATTTCATCCTGTATTTTGGTTACACGTATGGTTAACAACTTTGTTTCTAATTGGTTTATGTTCATCTTCATTTCCAGTAAAGATAAATAAAACTGCTCTAAAAAAGCAGTTTCCATCTCCATAAATTCTATGGATTACTCTAGGACAAAGAGTTTGGTTAATGTTGTCTACGGTGAAATTGTGCAATATTAACAATTATAAACTTTTTTGCAATTGATTTTCTCATATCAAAAGTTGCACATATTGCTATTCTTTCATTTGAAACATTTGCACTGCTTTCAAGTTGAGTATTACCGTATATGTTCTTGATTCGACATCTTTGACAACTAGTTCATTATCATCGTTTGATAATTTATTAATTATTTATAGTTGAATGCTTCATTATTTACGGTTTTCTCTTCGTTTAATGACAAACTAATGAAGGTAAAAAAAATTTTCAATACTATGTCTTTTTCATTCTTTAAACTCGAGTTATTTGTACTTGATATTAGTGTTTGATCCTATTCCATTTATATGGCTTTACTAGTTTTTCACCCTTTCTGTCATCACGTTTATGATTTCGCAATAAAACTTTTGCTCCAATAGCAATACCATTCTTTGGACTCTTTTACTCACGTTTTTGGAATGACTCTTTTGTCATAGTCAATTTTTTGCCTTATTGGTGACTTTTGGATGTTTTCGTAAGCTTCATCAAAAACGAACTTCTTTATTTCATTCACTTTACTGAAAGTTTCCAAAATTGCTTTTTTGTTATTTGAACCATCGTCTGTCAGAGTACCATTATATTTAATCAAGCTCTAATTTATATCTATTGGCATAATAGGTTCTCTTGTATTTCAAAATAGCAGTGTCAATATATTTTTTTATACAAGAATAATGCCAAAGATTTTGCGGTTATATAAAAATGAGGTTTAGCCTCTACATTTACTGAAATAGTCTACCAGTACAATCAGATGTTTAAAACCATTGACTTCTGGCAGTTGATTTAAATCAATCCCAACCTGCTTCATGTTATTTTTTGGAATTGATATGATTTATAATAATGAATTAACTTGAAGTTTCTTGTTATTCGCTTTTTGACTGTTACCAGATTCTGAAACATAGGTGATAATGTCTTTTACCATTCCAAACCAAAAAAATTTTTAATATGTTTTATAGTTGAATTGATGCCTATGTGACCAGATAATGCATTAGCCTCATTAGAAATATCATTACTATTATGTACAAACTTAATGCTGTTTTCTGTTTTCTTTACACTAAATAACCTTTCTCTATAAAAAAATTAAAAATATATTTATTTATAATTGAAATTTTGACCAAATTAAACTAGCATTACTAGATTACCAGGTTTTTATCAAAGAAAACACTTTTTTTTTTCAGTGAAATATTATAGAAGCTTTCAATAATTTTTTAGATATATTCCTTGATTGCTTTAATAAAACCTGTCCTCTAGAGGGCATAATAATTAAGACAAAAACAGTTTCTAATCCGTGGATGGATAAATCACTGATAAAATGCTCAAAAAAGAAGCAAAAACTCTATAATAAATATCTTAAAAATAAAAACACTGATAACGAGAAAAATTACAAAAATTATAAATATTTTTACCAAAATCTGATTAAAAAGGCAAAAAATAAATACTATAGTAATGAAATCATTAATCATGCAAATCTGTTAGTAAGAAAACGTGGTCCGTCATTAACAAAATAATGGGACGGAAAAAAATAAACACAACTTCTTTACCAAAAAGAATTAATATTAACAATACAGACATATTCTGTGAAAAACAAATATCCGAAGAATTTAACAAATACTTTATAAATATTGGTCCAAATCTCGCTAATAAAATAAATCCAACAACTGATTCATTTAAAAATTATCTAACACCCACAAATAAAGCCATCATGTACGATAAAGAATTTGTATATAAAGGATTTGAAGAAGCCTTTTCCTCTTTAAAAAAAAAGAAAGCACCTGGATTTGATGAAATAACTAGTGATTTAGTTATCTTTAATAAAACCAGTTTAAGTAGACCTCTGATCCATATACTAAAGCTCTCAATAACATCTGGGATTTTCCCTGATGTACTTAAATTAGCAAAAGTAATCCCTATATTTAAATGTAATGAACATTCGGACATAACCAACTTTAGACCTATATCAATACTTTCTGTTTTTTCAAAACTCTTTGAACGTGTAATTTATAATAGAATTTATAATCACTTTACCAAAAACAAATTATTTTACCCAAACCAGTTTGGATTTCAAAAAAACCTTTCAACAGAGCATGCAATTATTGAATTAGTTAATCAAATAACCGATGGTTTTAATCAAAACAAATTTACTTTAGGAGTTTTTATTGACTTATCAAAAGCTTTTAATACAGTTGACCACTGCATCCTATTAGATAAACTAAAATACTATGGTATAATTAATAAAACTTACAATTGGATTAAAAGTTATCTTACCAATAGAAAACAATATGTGTGCAATTTACAATCTGGAGTATTAAATGTTTTATGTGGAGTTCCCCAAGGATCTATCCTTGGTCCACTTCTGTTTCTAATTTATATAAATGATTTTTGCAATGCATCTTTAAAACTAAATTCAGTCATGTTTGCTGACGATACAAATCTATTTCTTACTAACAGTGATATCAAGAATCTATATGCAGATACGAATATCGAACTAATTAAAGTAAATAATTGGTTTAGAGCTAACAAACTCTCGCTTAACTCAGAGAAAACAAAATATATATTATTCCATAAAAAGGCGCAAGAAAACCTTCCTCTTAAATTGCCTGACCTTATCCTAAATGATAACTTAATTAAAAAACAAGCCAGCATTAGATTCTTAGGAGTTCTTGTTGATGAGAAGCTATCCTGGCTTCCTCAAATAAGATATATTCAATCTAAAATCAGTAATATAATT